ATTTTTCGCTTCCGTTGGACTCTCATCTAACTCAGAGCCCTCTGCTAGGAAATCACAGCCTTCTGTTCCTTTCCCCTGCCCAAATTTTCCTTTTGTAGTCTACTGCTTTCCCACGCTATGTCATCGTTCTCCTGCTTTGGCATTTTCCACTCTCCAAACGGCCTGCCTGCTGCAAACAAAATGGAGAAAACCAGTCTCCTCTGAGGGCTGCGCCATGACTTAATTAACCTTCTGTTGTCCTTGGTCTGAAAGATGACCTGACACAGCCCCAACTTCACATACGTTGTGCATTTGGTGGTACAGTGATTGCATAAGATCAGTCAGGATTCCTGTGACGTGTTTAGACAGGTTTCCCAATTGCCACACAAATATTTTGAAAGTAATCTAGCCCTGTGTCAGAAACGATATTTCTAAGGCCTCACTGTTTGGCATCACTGAATTTGGGCTCGTTCTGCATTGTGCGGACAGAACAGCAGGCTCATCCAGGACCATGCGTCTGCAGCACTGCAAGGGTACCTTTAACCTGTTGCTGCAACAACCAGCTCTAATTTGGTCTTCCTGTAACACGCTACGTAATGCATCCAGCTTGGGAGTTCACCTAAGTAAAACTAATACATTGCTGTTCTGGAGCTGATAGACAAATGGTATCCTACAGAGGAGATGAAGAACGAGATGGAGATTTTTCCCTAGTTTCTCACTGCTGTACAGGAGGTCTACTTCCAGAGAAAGGGCACTGGAAGGAGCACAAACATGTAGGGGAACCTCCCGCACAAGCAGACAGAACATCTACTTTCTGCCATCATCATCTGTCTACGAATATCTGAGCAATGCAGCTCGGAGAGCAGAGATCCCAGAGAGCTCTGAAGTTGACCTAGGTTTAGCCTACCCTTCAGTAGACATGGAGGTGCCTGAAGACTTTCCAAAAAAAAAAAAAACCAAAACACTATCAGCTCCTTCACTAGAAGAGTCTTTGACCTTGACAAAAATGGACGAAGACAGACTATGGCACAGGGAGAAGCTGTTAGTGTGACTTATGTCTAGAGATAAAGGGAAGAAAGTAAAACCAGAATGACACACCATTTAGGGTGGCTTCTCAGAATATCCTAGTTGTTTAACGGAGTTAGGGACTTTCTCTCCGAGCTATTTGGCTGACTCCCCCCTATTCACTTGTGCCACTCGGCCATCGTCACACAGTCAGCTGGCTGTGCTGGCATCTGCACAGCTCCACTTGCACTATCTCTATGTTGGCTCTAGGCTTCAGTCTTGTATGGTTCTATCTGAACAGCACCCATACAAGCAAGGCAAACAAAAGAAGCAGGAACTTGTTGAGTAAAGACTGCTAGGGCAAATTATGTCTGCTGTAATACTGAGGCGACAGCCACAGCAAACTAGGTGCAGTGATGCCCCTTGTAAAACAGGATGCTCAACAACAGGCTAGGAGCATCAACTGGCTGTCTCAGTGGTACTCTGCTGACATGCACTGATGGAGGGTTTGATTGCACCTCTTGTTCAACTTGAATTTCCTTTATTTTTTCCCCTTGAAAATATATAAAGAGTTTAGGAGCCACAGGGAAAAAGAAATCATTATTAGTGACGCAGATCATTTTTACTTTGTGCCTTCTAGCTACTTTTAGGATTTCTTTTGCTTTTCTTCCTTCCTTTCTTTCTATTTGGTCACTTGCCTCAAAGTTCTCATTGTGGTTCAGCTCTGAGTACTCTGCTAGATGCCAAGTTTTACAAAGTTCCCAAAGTACTTATCTATGGACACCAGGCATTATAAATAACATTTCCACATTTAAACCAACTGGATCCTGAGCTAACCTGGTTTATAGCCATCTGGAATTCTTCAGAAAAAGCAACTCACAAGCACTGTAAACAGTTTTGTCTTCCCAAAGGACACCAAGAGTTTCCAAATTCACTGCCTTCTTCATTTTGAGATCTGGGTTCAAGAGCAAGGTATAGATTTAAAGAATATGATAATGCAAATAATATTAATAAAAGAAACCTCCAAACGATCTGCTTTTCCCTAATAAGGCAGGCTCTATCAGTGTCCCTGAGGCAGCAAGGTGCCAATACAATTAATCAGTCTGTTTTTAGTTCTCTTCAGACAGCAATATTAACAGTTTGTTTCAGTCTGTTTATATGGGTCTGACAGGCCTTCAAGATGCTGTGTTCACTTGCTTGTGATTAATAGTCATTCGCATACTAAGGTGAAGACCAAGTAGAAAAAGAATGTTTTTAGAGCAGGACAGATAACTGGATTCTCTCCCCCAGCCTTTCATTTCTAACTAGGAAACAGTACTAAACTTAGGAATGCTGCCTAACGGTATTGTTTTAACTCCCCCTTTTCTTGCAACGTGCCCATGTGAAGAGCCAAAGGGAAATTTAAATCACATATTGTCTTTGTTTACCTGTCACTTGTGCTCTCTTGTGCTCTGTAAAGCCATCATGCTGAGAGCAAGGGTCTGCATGCTTTGATGCTACATGCAGAAAACAAAGCCGCTGGGACCAGTTTTGAGCCAGGAATAGCTGCTTCCAAGAAAGGGACTTTTCTTCCTTTCCACTCCTGCAAAGCTCTTAGGGGAGACCTTCAGGAACCAATGGAGAACCAAAAACCATCCTGACACAGGTTTCACAATCCAAGAAGGAGCTGGATTCTAAGGTATATTTTGTGCTTTTGAAACATTCCTTCAGTGGCTTTTACAGCACTTTTACAAGTCCTACCAGATTGGAGCTGCTTCCTCAGAACACAAGTAACACCCTGGTATAGTCTCACCCTTCTTGGGCTGGGGTCCTTCTTGCCACCCTATGCAGAGATCAGCTGCAGGCACACAAGGAGACCAAGTTTAACTCAGGGTTATCGTTAACCAAACAAAGCACATCCCAAACAACACCAGCGGCCCTTCTAAGCCTTCTCAGCTTTAATCCGAGATAGGAGGAAGCAGGGCTCCAGCAGCGTCCAGCCAATACAACAGAAAACGCAACCACCCAAGCGAGAGCCGTGAAACCAGAGGTGACATATTTGCCTACACTGCTTCATCCTCTTCTCTCTTTATACTAACCAGAGCTGGTGTTAAATGCTTCACCTAACTTATTTCTCTCTGCTTTTTTCCTGAAAGAACACACACATTTCTGTGCTCGTTTTCATCCCTTCTCCTTCTTCTCTCAATTTCTTCAGCATTCAACATCTTTCCCTTTTGGGGGCAGGTTTTGGGGTTCCCTCAGTAACTCTTCTTTTCCTGAGAACCCCCCCTAAAATCTATTTCCCTCAGGTCTGGCTCTTGGAATCTCCTCCATTCTCCTGCTTTTCCCTCTTCCCATTGTCATTAGTCCATTGATTTCTCTGTTTGGGCCTCCTTTGATCTCCTTCTTTCACTCTCTTACCCAACTTCTTTCAGTCTCTTCAGCCTCTTCCTCTCTATTTTAAGGGCATTCTTTTCTTCAGCATTAATCAGAAGGCATAATTTATTTTCTACCACTTTTTCTGAACAGCAGCCTTCACAAGTCTTGCTCTCCTTTTAGTTTTATTGCAGTTGAAGAGGATGGTATAGGAAAGTTATTACAGCTGAATAGCAAGACAGCCTGCAAGATAATACCACCCTCTGGGATAACAGAAAAATCCACCTAATTTTTTAAAATGCTGCAAGCTGCTCTATCAAATAATAGGAATTGGGCATTAAGACACACACAAAAGCATATTAGCATGCTGTGGATCTCATACAAGAGCTCAGTAATGCTCTCCAGAAACCTGCTGCTATATCCTTCTCTTAGCTGTTCTTGAGGAAGCTATTCAAAGCAAAGACACAGGTTATCTGCTGAACAGCAGACTTCATCACTCCTCTTTCTGAGAAGAAAATACTGGTGCATTCTCCTCCCCCTCCCAGAGAATTCAGATCCCCTGTCCCTAAAATTTCATGCTCAAAATACAACCATCAATGCCATCTGCTTTCTTACCATCTGGCAGCTGAATATTCCAAAATCGTGGCTTTCCTTTTTGCATACTTGCCTTACTTGCATACCTGGTGGACACAAACGTTTACAGATGTGTTTACCATCAAGTCAGCTGCGTGTGCCTGCAGCCACTCACCCCACAGCACGGCATGGGCACAGCCCGCTTCCCATCTCTTTAGGAGGTCCAGAACAAAAGTAACTTTTTAAGGGCACAACTGTAGCTTGATGGTTGCAAGAAGATTGATCTTTTTTAGTCTATTAGGAAAACGCAGTAGCAGCTGAAGGTACTGAGTTAACAGCACTTCCAAAATGAATTTCACTTTTTATAAACCTACTATTCCCCCCAAGGAAAACTCGGTATGAAGGGAATAACAAGCAAAATGCCTTCTGCTGTGCGCTATGGCCACTTATTTTCCAATAAAGAAAACATTCAGCACAGCCATGCCATGGATGGAGAAGATGGTGGCTGAGCAGGAGCATGACTGCTCTGGTGTCACATAACTCATGAGCTGGGTCACCTGCTAGGGGACTGCATCTGGCCTCTGCGTTCATGCGAGGTCAGATCACTGCGGAGGGCAGAAGCACAGAGGAGGGCAGCAGGCTGGCTCTGGCCTCTCTCACACGTTGCCATACCGTGAGCTGGTTAAGCGGTCCTGACAGCGGCTACCATATTGTGAGTACCTGAGAGCCAGAAGCTGTGACAGGGAGCCTGAGGTGACTAAAAATACTCATGCAGAGTCGGGAAGCCTGAGGAGTAAAGGATGCTCAGGTACAATGCATGACCCCTGCATGCATTAGCACCCCTATTAGCACCCCTCAGTGCTAATAGCTACTGAGAACAAATTCAGGCATTCAGGCCCTATAAAACCTACCAGAATCATTTTCTTTTGACAGTAGAAACCCAGCTGCCCAAGGAAGTCAGGTAGAAGCACAATAGCTTTCTAAATGTGTATCATCTTCAGAATTGGATTGTGGGAACAAAACGGAAAAAAAAAAAGACAAAACAAGGAAACTATATCCTTGTGCGGCATGTTGTCCTTGGTCCTTACCTTCTGCGCAGGTCTTCAGCCACTGCTGCTCTGCAGCTGAACAAATAGGCCCGGAGAGATTTTAGCTGCTGTCTCAGGCGGACAACAGTTGCCAGAGGTTCAACATGCTGGTACAACATGGGATTTTCCTGTTGGATGTCAATCAGTGGTTCCTCATACACATATTCCAGGAACTCTTTGGCTTGCTTTGATACCTGAAAAATAAAGCAACCAGTTTAGCCAGGCCTTCTTCTCAATTCTTTTTAAGTGGCTCTTCTCCTCTGTGCTCTGTCAGTCATTCTCTGCATCTGAAATGTTATTCTGTTACCAGATACAGGTGAAGACAAAGCTGAAAGAGATCTAACTGCCTCTGCTTATACCCAAGTCAAACTTCATCAAGCCTATCAAAGCAGAGTGTATGAGCTAATTGCTCATCCAAAGTACAGTGATATTTTCAGCCACACATACTTTCACTGCAGTGTAACATGCATACTAGATGTTCTCCAAGCCTAAAAACTATGATCAGTAAGGTTCTTGCCTGTTAATATTTTTGTTTGCTGTTTTCTTTTTGGCAAGAAAGAAAAGATCAAATAAGCGCAACATTAGAAAAGGAAAAAAAAGCATAACATTAGAAAAGGAAACATATACACTAAAAATAGTTGTACTGTACAGTTGTACTGTACTATCTCAGTGTAGAGAATTCTTGTGTTCTGTACTACTCCCGTTTCTTTCATTCTTAGCTACATGGTTAAAAAATAATAATCAGAAGCGCATCTACTCAGATATTTAAAAATACAGATAAACAAAATTGGCTTTTACTGGTGTTACTCATTCTCAATATTTCATCTGCAAGAAAATTTTCTTATGCCTTTTTCATGACAGTGCTCTGTTATATCTTCACCTGCAAAGAGCTACTGTAATTCTGATAAATTACTGAGACTTTCATTTTCACTAGAAAAGATACTCCTACTTCTGAGGTGAGGAGGACAAATTCCCTCTCATTCCTTACTTCTGCATTTTACCATAGCTGGAAAAGAGAAGATGAGATTTTCTGAAATGAACTGCAAACCACTTGAAACTGTGCTATATAGAAATACTACGGGTTCTGCAAGTCAATTAGTCCTCCTGAAGCTTTAAATCAGTGTTTACGTTGAGACAAGGCAAGGACAATTAAGCTAACTACTCTACCTTTTATGCGACTAACAAAAGGAGAAAGGGCACACCACAGTCTCCTCAGACTTAGGAAGTTATTTCCCTTCTGGTTCTATAAGATTGAAAGTACGTAAAAGCAATGTATGTCCTTATAAACAGCAGCACTTCCAGTAACAGAGCAAGCCTGAGACAGGAGTTACTAAGTATCTACAGGGAAAACTAGTCCTAACTGTAACCTTTTCACAATGCATAATAATAATATAATAAGTCACACCCAGGAGAGCCTTTCCACCAACTGCTACATAGATAATACAATGTATATTTTTAAATACCGCAGACCACAATTTCACAGACTTCCCAGGTCCAGGGAAGTCATACTGAACATATCACTTATTTCTATAAAACATCCCACTCGTTTCTCTCTCTCTCTCTCTTTTTTTTTAAGCAGTGCATGTACAAGGCATTGGGCTGCCTGAATGAAGGAACCGACAACATACTGTGTAATGAGCAGCACAGACAACTTGGATTTTGTAGAACAAAATTCTACAAATCCCAAATACGCCAAGAGTTCTAACATTAGCAATGCTGATGTTTTATTAGACACACTAACTGCAGTGCCCAGAAGAGAATGCAGTTAAACAACTACTTTCAAACTGCTTTTACGATCATTAAACAATTCAGCTGTACTATCTCAGCCATCTCCTGAAAACTGCCATATCCATAGTAAATATTAGTCCTCTTTCACTGATGGGCAAATTAAATCACAGATTCAGTGGTTCACTAGAAGCCACATGAATGCTCGGTATAGCCACTAGCACTGCACCTCCCACCGAGGCATCATCCTTCAGCCCTGCCCTAGGACTGCCAGCACAACACTGCGGCGCTTGCTTACATGCTGTGCTAGAGGAAAGCCTGGAAACGCCAGAGTGTTCAGTTCAAATTTCAAGAGCAGTCAGGGAATACAGTCCCAAACACAAGAGGGTTTCCCAATTTCTGTCCTCTGCAGGACCTAGTGCTCAGCCTTGTCTTCGGAGTCCTACTTCTGTGCTCTGAACCCCTCCTGAAGTGATGGGCTGCCCCCCATCCACCTGCCCTGCTGCCTGGGATATGGGATCCCATCAGGGATATGGGATCCCATCAGCAAGATGGGATTACTGTCAGTAACTGTTTCACCCTGGCCCATGCATACTCATACCCCTGTATGGGGGAACCCTCCTAGGGCTGCAGTTCAGGGCCCAGAAACAAGAAAATGACAGAACTGAGGTCACCCGAGAGACTCTGCAATACACACACATTATGAGGCAAAATTTTAAATGACACGTGAATCTTTTTTTCCCCTATAGGAGCTGAACGTCATATTAGGATAGAGACTGGACAGAGAGCAGGTATTCTCCATCATTCATTGTGTAGCCCTATGCTCTACTTATTGCACAAATTCAGATCCCAAAGGACAAAGTATCACAGTGCAGCTCTGGTGGTGTACGGTCGGGGAGAGGGGAGAGCCTTTTTCTCTCCTTGCCAACAAAGCACCTGAGGAACAGTGACCACAGGAAAGTTGCTTTGCCTGACATCCCTGGCTGGCAGGTAGGTAGGTCTTGGTTCACTGTGTGCATGCATGACGCAGGCATGCAAGTCATGTAAAACGTTAACTCACATAACCAACCATGACAAAGTCACAAGAAGCTGAAACGAAGTCTTATAATGGGAAGGGTCATGCAGTCATAATAATTGAGCTTGCTACCAGCCAAGATATTAATACATGTATCAGCATACTTACAGCCTCCACATTTTCTGGGGAGACTAGCCCATCCCATTAAAATAAAACTAGCAGGAATAGGGGGATGAAAAGTGCAAAAAGGTTTTAGCGTTTAATGAGGAATGGGGAGATGCAAAGTGCAAAAAGGTTTTAGCCTTTAATGTCACACAAGGATGGATTCTAACATTTTCTGACTCTACTTTTCTAGAAGCTGCAGACTTGCACTTCAGAATTCAATTTACCAGAAGTCGGCCTCCCTTGAAGCCTTCCGGCACAGGAAGTTCATTTCCTGCTGTGTTTGTCTGGCATTTTGAACAAGCTGGAAGCCACCAGAACCAAACTGCTATACTTACTGGTTTTTGCATGTAAGCAGGGAAACCCGTTGGCATAAGCAAAAGGAAGAAGGGATGTTCCCAAGACTGCCTCTTTCTTTTCGCTTCACACAAACACATGAAAAACACAAATATGGAAACAACAGAGAGACAGAAAATAAAAAAGTGAATTGGGGACTGAACTGCTGGTTTGGTTATGACAGAAGAAACATGCTTGAAGGTGAAGTTCTTCGAAACACTTTTAATTACAATCAAGGCGATTTTTCTTTTCTTAGCCGCATGCTTTCAGGTGTTAAGTGCATTGTTGCTTTTCAAGGTCCTGGGTATGGGAAGACACAATTCTGCAGATTTCTACTGCTTCTGTTTTTTCACTTCCCGTCTTGCCAAAAGCAGACAAGAACCTCTTCATTTGCAAAGCTTACTTAATTGTTGCAAGTTCACTTTACAGATGCTGTTTAGGTGTGGGGGAATCCATGCAACATGAAAAAGAAATGTGCTTAATCACATTATATGACCATAAAAGCCCATGTCCTGGAGTATGTATCGGTGCTTACTTTGCCTGATATAGACACGACGGACTCCCGAGACCCCTGCAGAGAAGAAAGAGATGGCAGCGGGGAGGAGCGGGAAGGAGTGAAGTTTTTCAAATGCTTCATTCACTTTCCTTCCTCGGTGGACTGACAGGCACATTTTGGACTGTATGAAATACAGAAGCATTCAAAAACTTAAGCCCTGCTTCAGTTCTGGCCAGCAAATGTGGTTTGTGCCTGGAGCTGCTCCACTTCCAGGCATTACTGTACTACCTGTGAGGTGCAGGGCTGCGCGCTTAGGAGAAGCTCTGTTGTTCAGCTTCATTCTAGGATGTTGCTGGATAGCTTTGTGCAGGCACATTCACCAATTACGGGAGGTGAAATGCTAACAGATTAAGTGATCTTCCTTTGAAAATGAGCCCAAAGGAAATGGAAATTATTCATACCAAGATCACCTCAAGAAAGTAGAGCAAAATATTTGTCTTTGCCAAATCAGAGCATTTAATCAATACACTATTAAGGAATCATACAGCTTCATTACCATTAGTAAGTACTGCAGCCAGCACTAAGTTGCCTTTTAGACAACTCGGAGGAAACAGACATCACATCTTACCTCTGAATGGAGAGAGGAGATATAGATAAAAGCATATATATGCAGAGTTGAACAAAAAGGGGGAAAACAGCAGATTTCACAAAAGTAAAAAGATTTATCGTATACGTGGAGAGGAAGAAGCTGAAGAAATCCAACCAGTGATCTCAGCTCAGCTGCAACGTTGCCGCTTTGGCACGTGACCCCAACGCGACCCTCCATTCCCCCTCTAATAGTTGGGGATGATGTAGTGTTTTCCAACCTAAGGAATGGTGTTCCTTTCTTAAATCTATTCCTCTGAGTGCTTTGGCATAATCAGACATTGGTGCAAGTTTGGTCATGCCCCCAAACCACCTCACAACTGTTCTGCCTGTCTACAAAAAGTGCAAATTGATAATTTCTCACTATAATAATTACAGTGAATTTGATCTTCAATTGAAGCTTAAGCTTCAAAGTCTCATTTTGTTTTGTGCCTCAGCTGCCTATACCTAGACCACAGGAAGTGAGCACAGAGTATAGTACAGTTTTTACACCAAAAACAAAATAGTTTATTTTCTTTGCATTATCACCAATACCTTGATAGTGAGGTCTCTTTGCCTCACTATGCACTTTCTCCACGTCAGGACTAACTATACTGTCTTGGGCCAGCAAGTTTAGTACTTGGGAAAATCATCCAAAGAAAGAATTCTTCAATATTCATTCCCGGCTTCTAGGAAAAGGAGGTTTTTGGCCTCCACATGTAGGAGCTTTATAAACTCTGAAGAATTGTTCATTTCATGGCACAAGACTATCATTTTCCCAATGGCAGGCTCTGCCTACCTTTTAATAATCTCCTCTTCTGACAAATTTTCATCTTCAAGAGAGCTGCCTTTCCTCTAATAGGGCATTTACTGGTAATTTTTTCCTTTTCAAATAGCCCATAATAATAATATTCACAGACACAAAACATCAAACAGCCTCTTCTAATTGTTGCTGTTAGGTTTGAAGCTTTAGCATGGTCTATTTTCCTTATGAGTTTTTTGTTGTTTCAGCACATGCTCTCTGTGACAGCAAAGTAACACCGCTACCATGTTTGCTGGCATAATGCCTTGGGCCACGTACACAGTTGCCCCTACCAAACAACCTACCACCAAGGCAGCAGCAAACAGCAGATTACTGAAGTTAAAAAAGCTGTTTGTGTAACAAGTGAACAACTGTAGAATTTTCTCTTTACGTTATTTTTGGCTGCCTGGCCCAATTTGACAATTGCTGTCATGACATCTTTCTGGTGTGGCCTACTGGACTTTGCAAGCACCGCGTATGGGTTACACCAGTTTCCAGTGGGTCAGCATCAACAAGCAGTGCCAATCCAAGATAAACAGATGCCACCAAGGAGAGAAGAACGGCTGCTTCTGTGCAGGGAATGCCTTAGGCCTGACTAACGAAGTTGTAGTGACAGCACGTCTTGTTGAAAGAGAGCAGATTCACCAGGACAGGCTCATTCTGGCTAGAGGGACAAAGCAGCTAGTATTAGCAGACAATACATTTAATCCTCTACCTGTTGTGATGTCTGTGTTTTGATTTAAACAGCAATTCAGTTCATTTGTTAGCAAATCAACCTGCAGGCGGATTACCTTGTATTTTGAAGTGTCCCAGTTATGAACAAGCCGAGCAGGGATGAGGAAGGTGTCATCCACGTGGCAGGTGCTGCAGTAATACCACCCGCTGTAGCTGCACACCTTGGCTTTCCCATTGGACAAGCCTATTGGGCGCTGACAGCCTGGGGAAAAGAGAGGGGAAAAGACTGAGTTTGTATACCATGCTAGAAGTGCACAATTGAGATGCACGAAGAAAATAAATTAACTGTTCCCCCATCTGACACTTTTTTTTTTAAACAACAAAGCACTTCTCATTCCCTAGAGATAAAGGAATAAATATCAATATTCTGCCACTAACATGGAAACAGCATACACTGACTTTAGCATCTAACATAAGAAAAAGAGTCAAAGGGTACTTAGCAGTTCTCAAGAAACAAAAGCAAAACACCTGCTGCAAGATGTCTCAACAACGGGCATTTAAAAGTCACCATCACCTGAAAACTATGACCTGAAGCTTAAATAGAAAACCCCAAACCAGGGAAGCATTGTGCACTCAGTCCAGACAGGCAGGCCTTTTCCCCACGGCCCAGAGGGGGCCGCAGCAGCTGCCTGGAGGAGCGTACACGACCTCCTGCTGCCAGCCAGGAAGGACGCTGAATTGGCAGGTAGGACTCAGCCAGGGCAAACCACAGCCAGACCACCAATAATAACTGTGAGTAATGGTCACATTAAGCATGAGTAGTCCGTGACTAGTAGCACTGAGGCAGCTCAGCTTCCTGGGTTTCTCTGCCTCGTGGCTGGATTACCCTGTGCCCTACGAGGTCTGAGGTCTGCCTGAAACTTTTTCCACAGCAGGATTGCTTGTCTCTTCCCATCTCCTCCTGGGTGGAGTCCCTGGGTGAAAAAAATGCAGTGCAAAGCTTCTCCTTTGGCTGGAAAGAACTAATTCAGATCTCTCTCCTTCACCTGACCACCTGCTCTCACAAAACATGTAGAAATGCAAGGTATTTGACACCTCCAGCTTTCTCTCAGCTGTGGTTAAAATGGGCCAACAGGTTCAAATAATATTAGAGAGGAAGGCTGGAAGACACACAGCACAGTCACATTCAACAACTTGTTAGGAAACAAGGCAAAAAATGTTTGGACAAAATATAATGAGATGTCTGTGGTTGTTATTAACACCTCTTTGACAAAGCACACACGATGGTACTTCTGCTTTTCCTTCAAATGCTAGCGTCCCCGTACGACACCTACAGCTACAGACACAATTAGCACCAAAGCCCCACTCTGGAACGCGTTGTACAATAAGACGGTCTCTGCTGCCGTTGGTTAGTAATCCTGATTAGCAGAATCACTGTACACCACTTCTAAGGCAAAACTATTAGTTACACTGCATTTTACAAGTAACAGTGTGCTTTTGTCAGTGTAACTGATTTTGTTTAGTGTAATTACATAACTTCTCCCAGTAAATGCATTTTTTCCCAAGTAGCATTTATTCTTACTTGGGGAGAGCTTGCAGCAGCTCAGCTACTCCAGGCACAAATTGAACTCCTCCTTCTCTCCATTATCTGATGCTACCATGTCCCTGCTGTGCAAATCAAAATAATAACTTGACCATTGATTCTCAACAATACACACAATCAAGAGAATCAGTGCAGGATATGTCCTATCTTTGTCCCTGTCTCGCTTATATTAAATGCATCTCTCTCCCTCCCTCTCATCAAATACTTTTCTCTCTCCTTTTTTTTTAAACTCAATATCATGCAATTTCTTGAAAAGGCAAATATATACGCAGTTCAGCTGATGCAAAAGATGCTTATGTTAATGTCTCCTTCTCTACTATTCATAAGATCAGATACAATCTAAACATATGTCTGAAGTGATATCATTCAAGAGACATAATAAAAAAGTGATATCTCATTTTAGCTAACAGAAAAACCAAATATTAGAATTAGAATTGTAAATTACTGTCATTGTAGAAATATTTTTTTTGTATGATAAATGGTGGCAGAACTTTTTGCAAAGCAGCATCTTCTGGACAGAAAGAGTGCCGGTATGCCTTTTATAAGGGTAAAGTCAATGCAAATAATTGGGCAGCACGTTACAAAAAAAGATAACCTATGACTGCCTTGGGACCAGAACTTAGGAGCCAATAACTTCATATTTCCCTTAGAGCAAAGCAAGCAGCTGCCTGCCTTCACTTTTTGTGTTCTTCTCTGTATTTAAAATAAGCAGATTCCTGGCTAGTCGGTCCTGCTCCAGTGTGCTGGCACAGATGAAGTTAGCAGGCATCCCTGGTAGCAAGCTCTGCAGCAGCGGACTGCAGTACATACAGAACTTCTAATTTTTAAAGTGCATTAACGCATAAAGGTGAAGGGCTTGAACAGCTGAAGAGACATGAAAAAACAGCCCTGTCTGCCTGCCTGACATGCCATCCTATTAGCCCTGGAAGATGCTCACAGAAGGTACACTGTTGCTATGGAACCCGTGTTTTTAAGAGCTCCGCAGAGGTAAATTTTGCCTCTCTGTAAAGGAAACACAGAAATATGCCCCCTTCTCTTCTCATAGAACAAGACGAAGAAATCTATGAAAGAGAGTGTTCCTCTTTCCCAAGCTAAATGGGAACAAGTTCTCAGAACAGGATAATATTTGCATTAGCAGTAGCTCAGCACAGCAAGGACTTGAGTGCTAGCCTTGCTAGAAGAACTAGTGAAGAGTCTGAATACTTCTCCTCACAAGTTGCCTCTGAATTTCAGATCACTGAAAAGCACTGAAGCATCAGTGTTTATACCTTGACTGGCTCCAGTTTTAGCCTTCGTTATATATACACCAAGCCCCTGAGGTTGGATGAAAGAGAGTGCAAAACGGCATGCAGGATTTTACCAGGTCAGTGTATTTGGAACGGGTGATGCAGTCCAAGAGGTAAAGCTATGACTGAATGAGACCGGTGTCTCCTAACTCAGTGCCATTAAAACCTTCATAAACATTCCCCACTAGCCAGCACTTAACTGCTGGTGAGGGCACAGGACACAGCACCGGTGTCACGTGACTGCCACAGTGCATTCCCTCTCGCTCCACAGGCTGCTGGTTTGTCATAGTACCCTGACTCCTACCAGCTAGAATGAAGGCAAGAATAAGCTAAACTCCATTTCTTTAGATTTGAAATGTCATCACTCTAAACTAAAATGCTTGCATTTGAGAAGTCACAATTTTAAGGCCTAATTTCTTGCAATCTCCTGGAGCCAGAAACACATTCTGGTCCACGGAGAGAGTTTCCTTGGGAGAGGAACACCAAAGCACAGAAGTGCTGAGGGGGCTTACCTCCTCCTCCCCCCCCCCACGGATGGTTACGTCCAGCTCAAAAGGGCAGAAGTTCTCCTGGCTGAGGAGGGTCTTGGTGTGCAATCCTGGAAGACCTTCCTTTCAGGAAGAGTAGCTTTATAAAGAGAAGGACGTGGAAGAAGTTTCTACCCAAGCAGCACGCACCCCTCATTCTAGCCCTCCTCTGAGCCCACACTTGTTTCCTGGTTCCTCAGAAACACATTCTCACACAGTGTATTTTCCATTCCTCTTCATATCCTCAAGTAAATCATGTTCTGCAAAGCTATATAACATTTGTTTCTTAGATGACATTAGTCATCATTTAGATAACATTAGTTTCTTTTAGATGAGAATGTAGCACCTACCATACATTTTTCTTTACCTTACAGGCTTTGCTGTTTGAAAATCACCATCTTTTCCATTCCTATCTGTTGTGATTCATAATGATGGCTATTTCTACAGTCCTTTCAAATCAAGTTATCAAAGCACTGATTTTCTTTGATGTTATGCAGTTCAAAGTGATGTAGTGTGACAAACATATTTCTGTGGCATAGACCACTTATGCTACTTCGGTTTTTTAAGGTGGAAAAAAAAGAGCAAGTGAGAGAGAGGGAGAAGGAAGAGGAAGAAGGAATAGCTCAGGAAAATCCTTGGAAATCCTGCACTTATGTTCAGGAACATAAATTTGCCGTCACGTTTGCCAGAAGGGAAGACATTACCTTTTCCTTGCTTTAAACTCTTGAGGGTCCTTCCCAGTGAGAAGAGTCAGATATAGCAGACCACCTCAGAGAGGTCAATAGCACAACTCAACAAAAAGCTTGGAGTGGAGGAAGGGACCATTTCACGTTTGCAGAGAAAATACTTGCCTACAGCTGGAGAAAGCAACTCCCACAGAACAAGGGAAAAGCAGCTTAACTTTCACCAAGTCTCTCTCACCTATACCTACTGCTCACACAGATTATTATCCATCTAATAGCTGTGCAAAGGACTGGCAAACCCAGAGCCTAGAGCAGGAGAATACCACAAAATTTATTATTACCACAAAATCATACTTACCTAAAGGGTGTTGGAGAGCAAGCCAAACACAGAAGTGTAGCTGTATGTATACTGTTAGTAAAGTGAGGGAAGCAACAATCCCAAAACTTTCATCAAAGAAAACACACCAAAATAGCCTTGGAGTCAAGCAAGGAAAAGAGAGGTTGGAAAAAAGAGCAGCAACAAAGTGCTGCTGGGCACAGATGAATCTCCCTCAACAACATCTCTGAGCAGAGCTGGAGCATCAACATCAAGAGGCTCATCTCCACGTGCTAACACTTTGTGAGGAAAGTACTACACAAGATGCGGTGAAAAAGTCACAACAGGCCTCTCTCCTTGACTTAAGGTAGAGGCAGGGGATCCTAGGGAAGAGGAACCCAAAACACATGGATACAATTCCTCTTCTGCCAAGTGCAGGGAATACCACTTCTGCCACTTTCAGGATGTTGTGATGTGCTCAATTTCAACAGTGATGGCAGACGCATACAACTATTTTTTATCCAGATGCCTATTTCTTTAAACTTTTAGCAAGAAGAGCCTGGAGTAGCTCCATAGCGAAACAGAGAAAGTGAAAGACCAAACTAAAATTAAGTACCCAACTGTTTTCCTTATTCAATAAAGTTCCTTGCTCAGTATCAAGAAAAAGCAACTCTCTCATGATTGTGTACAATAATTAAATCTGTGACAGATTAGCTTAGAAGCTAATTCATTTAGAAACAACATAAAATATGAAGAAAAGATAATGACTCAGAGACTTCAAAAGGCTTTCAGTTTGATATAGTCATAAAACAACATAAGCAGAAGCACAGCAACAAATTTTCAGCGT